TACTACAGTAGTTTCCATTGTCTTTAACCCTATGTAGACCCAATAGACTCTATTATAAATAAACCCTAAACCCTGGGCAAGAGCATTGGTGCTGCAAGGAGACAAAGGAATCAACGGTCGGCCGTGGCATCCGAGCATGGAGCGAGGATGCAGCCAGCGTCATCCGGTTTCAGTAGGTTTAAGGGCTTAGGGTTCAGGGTAACTCTGGATATTTTTTGGGGGGGGTTCCGTACTTGGGGGGTTCCTTGCTATATAAGGTAGGACATCCAAAGTCGAAACCTAAGTATTCTTGAGCTCGGGTCAAGGCCCCAAGGCCCAAACTCCGTTCTTTAAGTTAAGGCAGTTGGGTTGGATTTCAGCGCTTGCGTGCGGGTGTTGGCCTGGCTTTGTGTTTCATAGTTTAGGCGTCTCTCGCTTCAGGGTTTGGGCTAATATGATATTAAACCTTGCACCCTAAACCCTGAAACCCTAAACCGCCCTAAACCCTAAACCTTAAACCCTGGACTCTAAGCTGTTATGCTTGGACAGGCATTATCAGACCCTAACAGAAATTGCATCCAGCAGCCCCTATGACTACGGGCTACTACCCCAGTTTAAAAGTTTAGGGTTTAGGGGGCTAGGGTTTAAAGTTTTGGGTTTAGAGGGGCCGCTCCGGTCTCATGAGCAATTTGAGTCTCCATCATTGGGGTAATATATCCTCAAGTCCTACATCACCAACCTCTCGCACTACATAACCCTGTAGAAGTAAGTGCATCTATATGCCCCAGGTCTCAGAAACTCTTCTTTCCGATGGGGTTAGGCTGTAGGACGCCTCCGCTCCACCGCTATATTGCCAGAAAGGGCTATTTGATGTTACGGGCAGGATGGGTTCTAGTGTTGAGAGCTCACTAAATAGGTTTGGCTTTGTTCGTCCTGGATGTCTCCCTCAAATCCTATACTATGCAGTATGATTACTTCCATTACTATTACTATACTAGTATATATACTGTTATACTATATTATTATTACTATACTATACTCCTATTATACTAAATACTACTATATATTACTATATATTACTACTAGTACTAGTACTAGTACTACTACTACTACTACTACTACTACTGCTGTGGACAGGTCACCAGCCACTTCTTCCATTATTAAGGGGCCTGCTGCCCCCCGGAGGAGACGGCAGAACTCCAAGATGCCGCAAAAGACCCTACGGGGCAAAAATGGGGAAGCAGGCACACCGGTGGGGACGGAAAAACCCCAAGAACTGTCAATTCTAGCAATTCTACATTACTACTCCACCACCCCTGCTACTATATTATTATTACTATTATCTACTATACTACTATACTACCACTACTACTGCTACTACTGCTACTACTGCTACCACTACTACTATATATAGCACTATTACTAGTACTAGTACTACTACTACCACCACCACCACCACCACCACCACCACCACCACCACCACCTACTACTACTGTGACTATACCACTATTACCATTACTACTACTACTACTACTACTACTACTACTACTACTACTACTGCTACTCCTGCTGCTGCTGCTGCAACTACTACTACTGCTACTACTATACTACTGTGTAACCCCAATACGGTTGTATACTATAGCTATAAATCATATCGATCATATGATATAGGGAAATACATGGTATACAACAGTATGGAGGTTGCGTACTATAGTATACCAGTAACCTGTGTGGCGGACAGGCAACTGGGCACCCACTAGAAAGTGAAGAGAACTGTTTGTGTGTGTGCACCATTTACTTGTGTGTGGATGAAGTACCCATAAATGTGTAGACGCACAATGTGCCAGGTTTTGTGCACATAATGTAAGTTCAACTTGGGTTCTACAACTTAAGGCATCTTTGCTGTACATCGTTGTGTGTTATATGTTCGATGGATCATAAATTTCCCAGGATTCGAAACGTCGCTGCATTGTGGATGTGTCTACTCCAGCAGCCAGCGAAAAACAGGTTCCAAGTTGTATAAACTGTGGCCGATTCATAATTTCCATAGGTTGGGGCTTCCCATGGTTTGATTAAGGTGTCGGTGCTTCCGACCTGGTCCTGTCAACCTTTGCAAGTCAAAGACCTAATTGATCAGCCCTTCTGAGTGGATTCTTTAAAGCACTTAGCGCATACCCCTGTAAGGTGGAGGTTGCAGCTTTGGGTGACCTGCTTGTGGAGGACTTTGTGGCTGGTGAATGCAGTGCTGTGAAAGTCAGCCAGATTGCACGGTCGGCTATCCAATTTTGCGTGGCTATGGGTGGGCAAGTTCCATGTGATCATCCAGTGCAGAAGCTTGCCAAAATTGGGTGCTCTGGATTACACCCTAGCAATTCAGAAAGAGATTTGCAACGACAAGTGAAGGCTATGGCTGTACAGGCCAGAATTGAGCACATTCCGGTTCGCATCAATTCCCCTCAGCAAGGTCACATTGTTGTTAAGAATATTGGAATCATCTTTCCGGACAGCATGGCAACTGCATTGTGGGAGGCTGGAGAAGACATCTTCCGCCACTTTTTCTTTAATGGTGTTAACGCTAGAAAGTTTTGGAGGCACCACAGCAATCATTGCGAGTGGTTCAAACAACATGTGGACTACACATGTGAAAAGAAGTCGCACATGATTCCGCTGTCACTTTATGGGGACGAAGTCCAGACGTACAAAAACACTGAGTGTGGCGTTGTGGATATTCTGGGATTCACGTCAGATTTTGCAGCCGGACATGGCCCAATGTCCCGCTATCTGCCAATTGTTGCCATTAGTGAGCACCTGGTCTGTGAGTTCACGTGGAATGACATCTGGCAGGTGCTTGTGCCCCGCTTGCAAAAAATGGTGACGGACAGATCGTGGCCCTGGAGTGTGTGTGGCTACAAATTCATGATCTCCAGTGTTCAGGGGGACATGAAGTTTTTGAATGAAGTCCAGCTGATCTTATGTAATGTTTATAGTATAATTACAGGATACTGTAAGGTCTCACATTTTTGCAAAGTCTGTGGCCTTCAAACTTCTACACAACTAAGGACAAGTTCTCTGTTCACAATTTCCGGCGAAACCAATTCTGCTCGTGGTGCATGTGCTGCAAATCCCACAACAACCTCAGCATGACATTAGGCGACTTTGGGGAGCATTCTGCCCACAGAGCTACTGTGATGACACATGAGCAGTTCATGCAATCAGGTGCGGAGGGGAGTAGATGCCTGCCTATGTTTCAGAGGACGTTTGGTGAGTGTTGTGTATCTTCAGCTTCTAATCTTTAACCTCCAAAGTCTTAGCCTCAAAATGCGTGAATGTGCTTGTGCTATTGGAGTTTCTTACATGGTGTTATAGTTCTATTATATATATAATATACAATTACAAGGACACATCATCTTCAACTTGCCGGGACTTTCTGTTCATCGATTTCTTCACGATGTCTGCCATAGCCAGTTGCTTGGCACGGGCAAAACGTTGAACGGCACTTAGCCTGCATGTGCATTCTATGATTGTTTGGGATGGTTGGCCTTCCGGCCGAAATGTGTGTGCATTACAAGATGCGTTGGTGAGGGTGAGGTATTGCCTATACATGGTGAATTTATGTCAAGTCCCTAGGGTTCATATTGTTATATATAAGATTGCACTCACCGCTGTAAGTTTCTGTTTATCGATGGCAGTTCTCAATTTTACCTATATTGCAATTAAATCATAGGCGCAGAACAGTGTTTTGTTGTGTAGCCCCTCCTTCCCAATAATTCTCAGCTTGTTGTTTTGGCAATTTGTGGATAGCGCAGCCTGCAACAAGGCAGTGGCCTCATCTACCTGGCAGAAGCTGGCCACTTTGGCCTGTGGTCGCCAGCTGGAAAATACCACGAGGTTTTGGAGCCGCTTCTGAGAAAGGCTTTTAAATCCTTTTGTGATTTCAAGAAAGCCCACAAACTGACAGCATCGCAACCGCGGTTCACGCCTGCACGGTGTAATCGCACCCTGCGGGCAAGCTGGGCCTGTTTGAGCAGCAAGGCTATTGCGTCCAAGGTAATCACGTTCTGGCTGACTGCCGAGCTGGATGCTTTTGCCGGAAGAGCAGACGCCAATGAACTGGACAAACAGGTCGCGTTGTGTTTCTGGACATATGCCCAGCTCTTGCAGATCATGGACAAGAATCCTTTGATACTTGATGATGCTGTTGCCGAAGATTTTTTTCAGACTGGGATGCACCACCTTTGCTTGTATGGTGCTTTGAGGCGACGCAGTGCGCAAACGTTTGGCCCTACAGCTTTATTGAGGCACATGTTCCTACTTCTTCCCAAACACCATCACCTGGAGCACCTACTCTTTGATGTGCGGGCGACCAAGGTGAATCCGCGTTTTTTCACGCTTCTGTGTGCTGAGTCGTGGATAGGATTGGTGGGCAGGTGTGCCAAGGCCTGTCACAGGGCGTCTCTGTCAGACCGTGTTTTACAGCGGTACCTTGTCAAGCTTGGCTTGCACCTCCAGAAGCTACCACGCCACTAGAGAAATCAGTGCTTCTGATGTGTAACAGACTGTTCTGAAGGCCAGGTCTATTCCATATAGAGAGCATGTTATAAGCCCTCATATACTGGCCCTTCTGCCTTCAAAGCATTCTGCTGCACCTTGGACTTTATTTCAGTGATAACTGGTCCCCTTCGCAAAAAACCATGGAAGTGCTACATATTCTGGGTTGTTTACTGTAGACAGTGTAAGTGTGTAACGGCTTTATGTTTATAGCTAGAGTCATATTTGAGGTGGGTATAGGATAGCGTACATCTTTAGCGCATTATCGTATATCATAACTCTAAACTGTGGAACCTTGGTTTTGGATAGTTTGGTCGGCTAGGATTTGTTTGATGGATCGGGTTTAGACCAGTCTGCACCCTAGCTTGAACCCTGCTTTGGTGAACTGTGTTCATATTAGCTCTGTTTTGCTGACTCTTCATGTTCACTGTTGCTTGCCTCTGGTGGATACTAGCGTGCTCAATTTTGCAGTCTTGATATTCAATTTTGCTTGCACCTAACGGATGTCGGCAACCCCCCCAAAATTTCTCTGATGTTCCTGATGTTCGGCATCTTAACACGATGCAGCTCTATACCGATGATGATCAGTACTCCATGTGCATCTTCAATTACATACTGCATCACAGTGGTCTAGTCAGGCTTTGTGGGCAAAATGTTGACATGTTAGGGAGTCATGGGGCCTCGTGGGGTGTCATGGAGTGTCATGGGGTGTCCTGTGTTTCAATGGCGCCCCGGCTAGACAGCGGACCCTTAGGGTAGAAGCATTTGCCACGGAATTGCCGCTGAAGCCGGCCGCAAACCTAGCGTTTACAATTCACACCCTCAACTAATTCACACCCCCAAACTGAAAAAATACCAAAACCGCGTAGTCGATTTCAGAACCTGAAAACGGAGCGAGCCTATTTTGGACCCTTTTTAAGTAAAAACAGCCATTGGGGCTGAGGTTGAGTGAGCTAGGAGAGGAGGGTTTAGGGTTTAGGGATGAGGGTTTAAGGGCTTAGGGTTACCTACTGAGCAACTGTAGCTAAGACCCAACTATAGCCATAGTTGTGTTGAAAACTTGGGGAACTTATACTTGATTTAGACCTAAACCCCAAAAGTAGGTAAAATAATAGCCCTAAATACCAAAATATAGCCCCAAAGGCCATTATTCTACATACTTTTGGGGCCTAGGGAGGTGCACGTGTAACTAGGTTATAAGCAACGCAAGGCCTGCACAGAGTTTTCATGCAACTCTGGGGGAAAGGTATGAAGATAGGAACTCAGGCTGGGTTTAGGGTTTAGGGTTTACGGGTTTAAGGGTTCAGGGGTTTAAGGGTTTAAGGGGTTTAGGGTTTAAGGGATTATGGTTGAGGATTTCGGGGTCATACTTGATCAAAATATCTAAAGAATGGGAACTAACACACACGATTCTGAACAGATAACATGGAGATATCACTACCAACAATAATTATTGCACATTATTCGTATTGTGCTAAAATCAAATTTCTAATTCTTTCCATCAAGCAACCTGCACGGAGCCCTAAACCCCTAACCCCCTAAACCCCAAAATCCTAAACCCTAAATACCAAGGACCTCGGGGTTTGACACTGTGCATCCTTCAGATGCCCCCAGTCTCTCACAGTCATATACGGGCCCCTTGCTATAAGATCATGGGTAGTATGTAGATAGTGCTATTGTTAATTGTTTCTAACATTTCAAAGCCACTATGTACCCCTTTTTTTTGCGCGGTCCAACTGTATTATATATATATATTATGCCACCACAACCACATAGGGAGGCTCTGTGTGGAGGCCCATCCAACGTTTAGAAGTTCAGGCTTTGAATAGGTAAGGACCTTTGCATATTGGTGACGCTGCCCCCCATGTACATGCATATCACCTACCTGGTGATTTCTTAACCTTGCGGGGTTTAGCTTTAAGGACCCAAGGGCTGATCTCATTTGTGAATAACCCCTGCATGGCTCTTCACATCCATGAACCTACTGTATCACCCTGCACTCTTTAGACCCTAAATCCTGAACCCTAAACCTAAGCCCTAAGCCCTAAGCCCTAAACTCTGGAATCTATGGAAGCATTGGTGCAGGCAATGCGATCGCTTGGTGGGTGGGGCGCACATATCGTGCAAGATCCTCCGAAGCACAAAGAACACAGAAAAGGGCTAGGTTTAGGCTTTGGTGTTTAGGGTGGGTTCAGGGTTCAGGGTTTGGGGTGGGCTTAGGGCTTGGGTTCAAGAAGCCCATTGGCTGATATTTGAGAGCCTATCCAGCAACGGCTTATTTGGGAACTCCGGGTTTTTGGAGCCTTTTATATAGCTGTGCCCCTCCATGGGAATTCTTGTAAATCCCAGTCCCAGAACGTCTGGAACTGAAAAATTAGCCAAAGACGTCACACGCAGGCAATGGCCCAAACCCCCAAACACAGTCTACATACTCCCTGGGCGTCCAGGTATTATGGGTCTACCAAAGACAGTGTTTGGTCTGGGAGGCATAGGAGCTATAGTCTAAACTCCTAGTAGCCCCCTTGATAACCCCGATAATACTCTCCTATATACTCCCATATATTTACGTATCCCCCTTTTAAGGAGTTTAGACTGTAGCTCATATGCTTTCGCTTTACAAAGCCCTGAACTTAAAACTTTGCATCGCCAACGCCGAGAACCCTTGGACTCCACTTGGAGGGTCAGGAAAGCTCAACCTCCGTTTAGGTTTTAAGGATTTAAGCTTACAGTTAGGGGTTAAGGGTTTAAGGGTTTTGGGTCTAAGGGTTTAGTCCCTATCCCTAAGGCTCAAAATAGCCCGAAGACCTTTCATAGTGTGGTCCCAAAAGGGTATTAGCCAGTCATGAAAATTCGCCGAGGCATCCAGCCTCAGGGCGTTCAGATCCCTTTAAAAACCCTCCTCTACTCCCCTTTACAGACCCCACACCCCACCCCCCATGAAATTTCAGCCTCGCCC